TTTATATTTATTATGATTGTTTATAATATACTATTTTCTTATTTTGTATAATCGCAATGGTAAATTAACATTTAATCGTTCAAAAATAATTTTTTTAAATAGGAAAAAAAAAGTTTGGAAAGTCCAAAAGTGCATGACTCATAATGCTCATTTAATTATAAAATATTAATAAAATAAAGAATGTGAAAAAAATTTATAAAACAGCTAAAATAGCACGATAATGCGCAAGTGCCTCTAGTGGGATAAATGATATATATAGATATACAGACTTCTGGTTTTTGTTTTATTTTATTAATTGTACATAAACGACACTGAATTACCTAGCCATTCGCATTCGGTGACTTACAATTCTTTCAAAGAATTTTTTTTTATAAAATTTAACTCAATTAATGCATTTTTTCGCAAGTTATAGTGTTTTCAGAGTTTGTTACATGACGGACAAGAAAATTTTTTGACCTAATTTGATGTTTTTTTCCGTTTCTATTGCACTAAATCAATTTTTGAAAAGTGTCAAATTAATCTCCATTAAATTATTCTGACAATAGTATGCAAAATATATTGATTCAGTGAACTAACAAGACAATAATAATAAAAATAGTTGCCGAAATGAGGCGAAAAAAATTCTGATGCTTCGCATCATGAGTTGTGCAATAATTGTGAAAAAAATTTCTTCTTTGTAAATATTGAAGTGGTTATTAGTGCAATAATTTATGCCTCCAGTAAAATTATAATTGTCATTTATGACATACAAATACATACTTCATTTGTTTTTTTTCCGGAGTTTAAAAAAAACAAAACCAAGTAAGCAAGTTATGATAAAAAAAAAATAAAGCATAAATGTTTTTATAACTTTTTTTAAATTAGAATATTTTCAGCCTTATTGGTCATACGTAACTAGTGGATCTTTATGTTTTTATAACATTTAATTCCATGATTTTAATGATTTACGTTTAATAAAAAAAAAAAAACAAGGTTTTATTGATAGCAAAATTAGTTTGTTTTGTAATGAATGATTTTAGTTTATTTGAACTTGATTGTAAATAATGAAACAGATAAAGAATTGTTTTCAAATCATCTTCAAATCGAGTGTCAGAAACTCGGCCTTTTACCTTGGAATAATATTGTTTGATTAGTTTTCTTTAAGAAATATTTATGAATTTCTCAAGAATGACCTCTCTTACCGTTACTTTCTGGTTGTGTTAGATTAATCAGAAGTAATAAGTTTTGAAAACGAATGAGTCTTACCATCACTTCTATAAGATTTAAAAAAATTCGTAACTTACGAATAATAAATAACGAAATTATAGAATATGATTTTTTAATTTAGGTGAATTAGTAGACCTAATTCTCTTTAATCGGAAAAAATGTTATCTCTATTCGTTAAATAGTTTATATTATTCATCAAATTATTTAAATGTGAACAAAATTTTGCCTAGTAGAATACCAGAGCTTTAGTATCGACAACAATTCTGCTTCTAGTATTCTTCTTTGCCCCCTACAAAGCCATGTAGCTTCTTTGTTTTTATGAAGTAATTACATACTGTCTAACAATTGGAATGGTTTTTTATGCACATTCAGATCATTAAAAATCTTGACATGCATTTTGTTCCATATTTTGCACGCCTCATAAGCGAAGCGTTGAGGTTGTGCTCTACTCTCGACATTTCGAAAAAAGCAGTTTTCTCGAAACTGAAATTGATTTTTTGTTATTTATATCGCACTTACAGGTTAAAATGAGTACACTTATGTCAAGTCAAATAATTTTTCAGGCACATAAAATATATTTCAATAACAATTATTTTGTTTAACATAATAAATAATAACATTAAACATAATCTTTTTTGGACGTCCGTGTATGAATGGGTGTATGTGGCAGGGAAATTGGTCGAAAAAATGATCGTACCGGAATATATTTTTTTTAATTATCTAAAGTAACACACGACAGAATTTCTTAGTTAATATGAGCGTTCAATTCACTGTCGTTAAATTATTATTTATAAAAAACTAATATATGACTGTGGATTTTTTTGTATTTCTATCTATACATTTTATTATAGTATTTTTTTTCCTCACCTTGCAGTTATGGCGCCACTAAACCATAGCAGTGTTTTCTGTTTTTTATTATTTTGCTTTTTATATTTTATTTTAATCAATTTTATTTTAAAAAATGAGATTATGAGGCGTGCACTTTTGGATTTTCCAAACTTTTTTTTCATTATAAATGATAAAATAAATATACTTCATAGTGTCAATTATCAATATTGTGAAAAATAAATGCAACAAAACCCAGAGCTGAATTTCACTATAAAAAAAAAAAGAATGTTGAATTTAAAGCAGAGGCTTCTCAAAATGTATTATTGTTAATATTTTAATAAAATTAAAAGTAGCAAATAAATACGATTTTTGAATAAAATTAGATTAACTTCTCTACACATGGAAAATTCTTAGAAATTTTTATCATAATTTTTTAATGACATTTCACAAAATCATCGCATTTTTTCAATTTTTAGTATGATTAAATTAATTATAAACAATATTTACTATTTTATTTTAATGTATCGTCGTCCCATTAAGAACTTATAATTTTTATTTTGTTTTTTTTTTCTAATAATTTCAATCTTTAAATCTTACTGATGCAACTATAAATTGTTATAATACCTGTGAATAATTTTCACTTATTAATGATAAGCAAAATTAATGATGTTACAAATTAGCAGACTTTGACTGTTAATTCTTATCCTTATACATTTAGTTATTAGGAGTCGAAAATTAAGATTTATTTGTACATGATAATCTTTAAATACATTTGCATGCATTTAAGAAATTTTTTCGTCAATGCATTCAATTTATTGATTTGAAATTGAAAAAGAAATCGTTATATGTTTGCTATTATCACAACCATCAAAATTACCAAATATATTAAATTGTTTATATGAATTAATATAATATAAAAAAATTACCGTTTTTCAGAATTTAGATGTTATTTTAATAGTTTTAATGCTAATGTGTTGACATTAAATTCATGTAATTAAAATTTTGCGATTACTTGTTGACTGCTATTTTATTTTTTATTTGATAGGTAATCTTTCAATATTTGTAACTAAAGTTAACAACTATCACCATTTACTAGCACACTGAGAGCTTACTTATGGATATAGACAATAGAAATTTCGGTTAGTGACAAGTTGCACAACACAATGAGTGGAAATCAGGAATGAACAGAATTTGGATCAATTTGGATAGTCCGTGTCATACGTGTCATCCGTGTCTACTTTGCTCCACATATATATATATATATATATATATATATGTACGTCGGCCCAAATAGCAAAATTCCCTACGCCCGAATTACCAGATTAAAAGTATTAAAATATCAAATGTGAGTGTTTTGTTTAAATATAATCAGTAGTCCGAATGTCTAAATGTCTAGTATGCAAATTAAAATTTGGTGTTTGGATTTGTTTGGATATGTGTATTTATTGTTGTCAATTCTGAAGCTCTCAATTACTTATTTTTCAACATTTCTCGTAAAGTGCCCAGCTTATGTATTTAGTTCATTTGTGTAGCCGGAAAAGTGATGAAAGCAATACGTACAGACACATTTCAGTCAGCGGCTTGCTATCGGTTGCTCTTATTCTAGATACAATGCGGAATTTTAAAAATTTGTAAACACTAAAATTGAGTGAGAGTAAACACTAAAATTTGAGTGAGAGTAAACACTAAAATTTGTAAACACTAAATTTGATAAAAAAAATATGTATTATTAAGTGCACACATTTTGTCGTAAATTTTTTTTAAAAATGAAAAATAATAAGAATATTCATTTCATATCCGTAAAGAAAATATAGAATATTAGAAGAATTAGGAATTCGGTTACTGAGACACCTCTGTATGTTTTTACAAAGAAAGAGTGTCTCTATGGAGACTATACACGTGTATACATGTGTAATAGAGTCTCCATAGGTGTCTTTCATCTTTGTATGATGTTTCTCTACACCTTAAAAATGATTGAGAAAATCCTAATTTAAAATAGAGATGAAATGTATGTGGCATCAAACTATTCGTAACGTGATTGGTTGAATATATCATAAGCATGAAAATATATGCAAACTCTATAGTCAAGGCGCGCGCTTGCGCGCGCGAATTCAAATTCTAGTTTATATTTAAAAGAGCTCTTATTATAATTCTCTTTGGTAAAAAAGACCCTATGTGATAATTTTCTCCTTCGTAGATCTCTTATAAACAAAATTGTTTAGCTGAGTTTATGAGATTCATTTTATTATGAATAAAAAAAAAATATATTATTATAGACTCAAGAACCATCAAGTTTCAAGCATGGTTTCGTCAACAGTTGCTAATATTTTCTATGATGATTATTATTATTATTTTTAGCAAAAAATCTAAAAAAAATCGTGGGATTTGTTGATATTTTGGTTATCAAGCACAAAATTGCTTCATTTCAATATTACATACTTTTTTCTCGCAATAATTATAACCATTAAGAATGTAAATCTTATTGAAATAATATTATTCTGTTACTATAAAAGAATACACATCAACTTAACATATATATGATGTAGAGAATTTTACATTTCACTCAATTATTTATTTAAAGATTAACAAAACATAAAATTTTTAACATGCTCTTTTTATGTAAAGATTTGTAATAGGTTTTTTTCAAACAATTATTTTTTTTTTCAAATGATCATTAAGATGTGGAAAAATTCATGTAAAGCTGTAATGTACCCGTTGTCATTTTTAAATATTAGTTTTTCTAAAATTATTTTATTTTTCTGATTGTAAGAATTTTTTGTAAAGATTGTTAATTTTAACCTTTTTTTTTGTATTAGTTTTTAAAGCAGTCAAAACTTGATGTTCCAGATAGCATAAATGAATTCAGGTCAGAAGTGAAAGTTTTTATACATCACGTATTTTCAAATGTTAACTCATTTTAACTGGTATCACAGTATACTTCAGTGTTTCGAATAGTTTGTGGAAATATGTTAACTGGAAATATGTTTTTAAAAAGCGTTGCTTCAATTAAACAAGTAAAACATTATGGAGGATTAACATATCGAAATAAAAATCATATAACTTTGCGCGAAGATAGTAATGTAGTTGTCAAGTTCTGTGAATTCAATCAAAATAATTTTCGATATTTTGCAACTAATGTAGTAGGCAATGCCAATCAAAGACCAGATTGGAACAGAGCAGTTTCAGAAGCTGAAAAAATTGTTGGATATCCTACTTCTTTTCTTAATTTGAGATGGTTATTAAGTGATGAAATAGCTAACGTTGCTCTACACCTTAGGAAGTTAGTCGGGTCAAATCATCCATTACTTAAAACAGCCAAGTTTGTGTCCAATATTAAACGAAATCATTGATATTATTCTGTGAATGATTAATGTGTAAAAATTTAATTACAGGAGTTTAATTTACAATGGAAAAAATAATATGCAAGCATGGGGTCTTATAGTGTTACTAATTTCGAAAGCAGCTGGTCATCATAACGTGAATGCTATGGAAGAAGATAAAGCTGCAGGGGTTTTGCATAACCAACGAGCACTTGCAGAAGTTACCGAAATGATAAGAACAAGTCATTTAGTTCATAAAGGATTAGTTAACATTGAACCAGGAGTTTGTCCTGAACCTTCTGAATTGACTGATGTGACATTTGGTAATAAGATCGCACTTCTAAGTGGAGATTATTTACTTGGTAACAGTAGTGCTGAATTAGCTACGCTTCGAAACCAAGAAGTATGATACTTATTAATTTTTTCTACTTATAATTCGCTTCATAAATAATTTATCTATTCTATTTAGTTGGTAGAACTAATGTCAAGTGCGGTTCGTGATTTGGCTGAAGCTGAGTTCATTGGAAGAAGAGATAAACAAAATAATCCATTACCTCCTATACCACCAGAAACCCGTGAAGGATATGCCGTTAGAGAATGGACTTTGCAAAATGTACTGAGCGCTGGTGCGTTGCTTGGTAAATCATGTCAAGGAACTTTAAAATTAGCAGGACATAATAAAGATATTCAATCGCACGGTTACCGATTTGGTAAACACTTAGCACTTGCTTGGCAGGTAATTAGTCGTATTTTGTATCATTAAATATAAATCATAATTAATGATATCAGTCGTAAGTATTTAATTTAATAGTATATTAACCAAACAAGAAAATTGAATTTTATATGAAATTTTTTTTTTGTAATTTCTTAGTAATATTATTAAGAAATACTAGCAATCTGCAGTCACTATGCGACTGCCGAGATTTACGGATTACGAATGAGAAAACTTTGGCTTAATTACTTTTTGACATTTCTATAATCACATCATACAAAGTTTAGGTACTTTTGAAATAGATTTGAAAGAGAATAGTGCTGTGACAGGATCAATAACAAATAATTGGATGGACAAATGTGACGGAATAAATTTATAGAACCAACAAACTATTCAAAACTGCTTCAAAAACTTGACATAAAAAATTGACCATCACTGAAAAACATATAAAACCGTGGAAAAACACAAACTCTTGCCAAGACCTTTTTGATGATACCAAGTTTAACTATAAAAATTTTTTTCAAAATAATAATGTGCTCGTCTCAAAATTTTCCTTACTCTTTCAATTATTTAAATCATAAATGACTATACTTATTAAGTACTGAAAAAATATCAAAACCAATTTACGATAAAGATAAGCCCGTTACCAAATTTTTTGACTTATAACCACGTTCACATGTATGAAACAAAATAAATGAATAAACTAATGACTTTTATCGCGAAATTCAAATTTATTTAGAACTACTTCGAAAATTTATTATAATAATAACTATTGCTGAAAAGCATATGAAAAATTGAAAATGCACAAATTCAGGTCAAGACCTTTTCAATTTAATTATAAAAAAAGTTAGGAAAATTCAAAAATGCACGCCTCATTCATTTTTTAAGAAAAAAATAAATTGTGTAATTGATTAAAAAAAAAAAATATTAATTAACTAATTTTTTACAGAGGGCCAGTTTTTCAATCCGAGATAAAATTTTATCCGAGATAAAAGTACTATCAATATAATGATAAAAATAAATAATTCAGCACAGTGATATTGCGTACGAGTAGTTCTCCCTGAATTCAGTCACTTATTTTTAATTAAAATAAATAAACATTAGCCGCATGTCACAGAAATATTAATCTCCAACTGTGACAACTTGCTGATTGTAAATAAATAAAATAAAAATTAGGAAAACGGATGACCCTGAAGGCCATCTCTGCAACTTCCCGCTAATTCCATATCTAAGTGCTTGAAATTACACTTGTAACGTTATCGAGCTCTTCAAGCTCCAAATTACAATTTATGTGTTATTTTGAGCTCTCCCAGTTCAAAGCGGTCGCTGTTCTATGCTTTTAAGTTCTTCGAGCTCATATCTTGCGTTTGACATCTATTAATAATCTATAATTGTGTTAATTAATTTAAAAACAATTTAAATGACACAACAAGAGGTTATTATTATTTTTATGATATATTTATTTTTTATTTAAATAAATGACCAAATTCATAGAGAACTAATTGAGAGCAATATCACGTCGATAAATTATTTATTTATTTATTTTTTTATTATATTGACAGTACTTACTTTTATCTCGGATAAAATTTTATCCCGGATTGAAAAACTGGCCTAGAGTATTTCTAATTTTTTTTAATCATCCCCAAGCGTCACAAAAAAAAATGTTGACTTTTTGGCAGATTTTATTTAACAAGAAGTCATAAATTTATAATTGTCAACTTAAATTTAACAAAACATTAACAAAAAAAAATTTGTGCCGCTTGGGTCGGTGCTCGTTTTTTTTGTCATATGCGCACGCAGTCTCAAAAAATCTAGCTTGATTAAGTGGCGCTATAGTTTTCACGTGAAAGAAATAAGAAAAGTTCGTTTGTTTTTGTACGTGTGTAAAATTCTTATTCAGAGACAAAATTTTTCTTATTCTTCTAATATAGATTAAGTATAAGGAATAATAACACCGGCCCACAAAAAAAAAAGTGCTCTGTACTTTTGACCGGACCTACCTATCTTTATGTATTTCGACGCGCTGAATCCGAATCTGAAATCAGTTTTACCCATACACCCTCAAAATTTTGAGTAAAATGCAAAAAACCCCAAAAAAAGGCAAAAAATTGCGAAAAACTGCAGTCACAGCAATGAAAAAATTTTTTGGACCTAGATAACGTATGATTTTTATGTATTTCAAATCACAGAATCTGAATCTAAACGTTTAGTAGCTCCTTGAACCGTCAAAATTTGAAAAAATTGCAAAAAACTCAAAAACATTGCAAGAAATCATGAAAAATCGAAATTATCGAGATTAAAAACATTTTTTGGATTCAGATTGAGTATGACTTTTATGTATTATGTTCCACTGAATTTGAATCTGAAATTTTTTTGTCCCATTGATGTTTTAAAATTTAAAAAAATTTTTAAAAATCAAAAAAATCGAGAAAATTGCAGTTATAAATATGAGAAAAAATCTATTAAACACGATCGTTAATGACTTAGGTGTATTTTCATGGATGGAATATGATCTTAGAATTGAAAAACTGACAAAATTATAAAATCTGTAAAAAAATAGCAAGTAAGGAGAAAGTACAGAACCATGTTTTCGAATTTCGGACTGTCCTTCGTTTGTATCGAACTTTTTTAGCTTCAAATGAGCTACGCAGAGGGTTCCCATCTTACCTTTTCTGTTTTCTTCTGGTATTTCTTTTTTTAGCATCCAGCAAAATATTGATTAAACTTGATTAAATTTATTTCTATCGAAAAATCTTTTTAAAAACCATGCGAAGATAAGGAACGATCTTTCTGATTTTAAGCTGTTCTTCGCTTGTGTCGAACCTCAAGAAACTGCTACTCTTGAGCCAATGGATGAGAGCGAAGAAGGAATGCAAGTTGACGACGTCTATGAAGAAAACAGTTCTGAGGACGGAGAATACTTGCCTGATATCGGTCAAAATAAAGGCCCTGAAATCTTCGACCAACTAGAATTAAATGATCTTTTGCGAGATATAGGGCTATCCAAAGAGGGATCTGAACATTTAGCGGCTGTATTGGAAAAGAAAAATTTATTAACTAAAGGAACATCAGCTTATTTTTATCGCGATAGAGAGAAAAATTTCCGAAAATTTTTCAACAACAATAACAAAAATCTTCGCATGGTTTTTAAAAAGATTTTTCGATAGAAATAAATTTAATCAAGTTCAATTAATATTTTGCTGGATGCTAAAAAAAGAAATATCAGAAGAAAACAGAAAAGGTAAGAGGGGAACCCTCTGCGTAGCTCATTTGAAGCTAAAAAAATTAGGAAAACGGTTGACCCTGAAGGCCATCCCTGCAACTTCCCGCCAATTCTATACCTAAACGCTTGAAATTGCACTTATGACGTTTTAGAGCTCTTCGAGCTCTTAAATACAATTTGTGTATTATTTTGAGCTCTCCGAGCTCAAAAAAATAGCTTTTGTATGCTTTTGAGCTCAAAAGTTTGATAGAAGTTTGATAAAACACTATTTTTTTAATTTTCAAATCGCAATAACTTTTGAATGAATGAATCGATTTTCACGCGGTTGGCGGCATTCGACGCAGTTTTTTAAGCTTCATAAAAAATCTTTGAGTTTATATCGACAGAGTGGAAAAATTCGGAGTAATTCCGAAAAAACGCTTTTTTCGGTTTTCTTTAGTCAACGATAACTCACGAACGAATTAACCGATTTTAACCGGGCTGGCGGCGATCGACGTGGTTTTTTGATGTTAAGAGCTGATTAGTTTTTAAAATTGATCGGTAGAGCCGTTTAAAAGTTATTTCAAAAAAACCACTTTTGAAAAAATTTTTTTTTGTTATACTCGCTCCAGAAGTTCAACTTCTGAGTGCTGGGTGGCGTCCGTAAAGGGACTCTTTTCTAGAGTCTCTACCATACCGTCTTTTTTCACGGCCTAGGCCGTGAAGTTTTACCCCCTCCTTTTTTTTACGAACTTTTCATGTACACCCAGACGAAATTGAGAGAGATTGTAAAAAAAAAGT